CCCATTTCAGAGAAGCTCCTGCCACACCTAGGCCCTAGGAAAAGGCTTTGAAATAACTGCAGCAGTTCAGCATCCAGAAAACCAATTCCTGGTCCAGAAGCTCCACAGGGAGACAACATAAACCCAGCCGATATCTCTCCCCATCACCCCAAATAGTAAGGAGCTGGGGGGGGTTGAGGTTTATTAAGCACCTACTATTTGCTAAGTGGATGGTATAGGTATCCTACTTTTAGAGAAAAAAGGAAGCCCAAGTAGATTAAGGAACTTCTCCTAAAGGTTCCTTCTTCCTAAAATTCTTCCACCCTTGTCTGTCCTGTGCATACTTTTAAGCTGTTCATATTCAAATGCCACCTCCTTGGCACAGCTTTCTCTGATTGGTGGGAGAGTTAGGGAAAAGCCCTCTGTAAGGCTAAAGGTCAGATGGGATGAGACAACTAAATATTTGTCCCTCAGACTGTCCATCTACCAGGGAACATGAACATCACAGTAGAAAAAGTCACTTTCACCTCAGGAAATGGGACCTGAGTTCCAAGTGAGAGTTAAGAGAGAGAAGCAGTCCTGTGGCCTACCAAAGTCCAGAAAGCATGGAGTCAGGGTTGAAATTAGGATAGGGAAGGACAGGCACCCCACCTAGGGAAGCGTATTCAGAGGAGGCGTGTGAGAAGGTTTGAAGAAGCAGTGCAAAGGCCAGCCTGACGGGGGTTGGGGAAGGGGAAGCCTGTGGGAGCAACTGGAGGTAAGAGTGGAGGAGAATGCTGGGAGCCCTGCTGGAAAGCTTTGGGTGCTGAGATAGCCGCACTACGTCCCCTGGGCAGTGGAGACTAGCCAGGCAGTAGAGCTCGGTACAACTATCGTGGTCGGGGAATCCCCGGGGTTCTTATAGCTCTGCTTTTCTCTCTCTTGAGCTGGTGTCCCAGGCCACACGAAGCACACGGAACTCTGGACTGGGATGGGTGGCAATGCATCTGCTCTCAAGACTGTGGGCCTCTGGCCAAGAAGGAGACCAGCCCAGAGACTCTGCAGGCAGTGCTGAGGTCTGGCACGCATCCCTGCAGGTGAGAGAACCTAAAATTCTTCTGCTATTTTCTTGCCGGGTGTCCTGTCTTCCTCCCCATCCTATCTCCATCCATTCTGCACAACATTAAGGAAAAAAGAAGTCACATTTCAGCTCTATTGCTCCCCAAAAACTATATTTCTGTGTCTTCAAATTTTCTTTTCTCTAAAAGCAATAACCTTCCCACTCCCAAGTCTCTGGGTTTCTGGTAATCTCTCTCTCTCTCTCTCTCATTCTTCCAAATCCAATTAGAGCCTCGCCTTTCCTTTGGAATCTCCTGCAAATCAGCAGGCAGAGGAAATTTCTCTCACTCTGTTTATACAGTTAGTATGATGCATATTCCATTCTGCATGGTTGAAGGCCAAGGAGAATGGCTGGCTCATCTCTGCAGCGATAGCGCCCAATATAATGCCTGCCCCTGACCAAAACACACAACAAGTTGTAGGAATTTAAGGTCGAGACATTCTACTGCCCCTGGAAACTCTCCAAAGCACAAACCCAGCTAGGTGAGGAGAGGGGAGATTAAACAAAGGTGGGTCCATGTTTACACAGAAAATTAGGATTAAAGCCCTGGTCTCTCTGACTTCACAGCCAATGCTCTTTCCACGGCGTCACTCAGATGCCTAAGGAGAGATTGGGAAATGAAGGTCAAGAGCTCTGCAAAGGAGAATCCTGAACAATGGGAAAAGATGGACTGGTGGAGTACCACGGTACTAGCTCTTCCATGCTGCTATTCTATGATGGGCAAGATGTGGGGTTTTCAGGAGCCTAGCAGGTGATTTCCCTGGGACAGGTAATGGTTGATGATTATAGAGAAGCAGAAAAATGAGAATGGGGTACATGTGGGGCTTGTCCTGGTGTGGTAAGAAGACTTTGCCCATTACCCTGTCTCCTTCATTCTCCCTACACCTGTTTCTACTCATGCTCTTCAAAAGCTTAATTCAATAAACCTTTTTGGGGTAAATTTTGTGTACAGATCACTGGACAAGGCAGTGATATGCAGCTCCTTCCTGCAAAGAACTGCTCTGCTAGGAGTTGAATTAATCCATTCTCTGGGATCTCACCAAAGCCCGACCCTTTCCCTGTAAAAGCGTATGCAGGTTAGCTTAATAGTGGAATGCTTTTCTACAGTCTTGGGAGAAATGAGAGAAAGGAATGTGGCATTTTAAGGAGGAGAGGAAATGGGAGAGAAAATGAGTCCCATACATAGTTTCTAGGGCTACTGAAGTCAGTTAACTGAGACAGTTAGAAGTTGTAGGTCCAAGTGATTTTATATACTGATGCCAGAGCAAGGACAAGCCTTGACCCAGTGTCCTCTGAGGATGTTTCACCCTTCTCACTCCCTGCCTCCCCTACCAGGAACTCCACAGTCTCTTCTCCTTATCTGGAATCCTCCCCTCCCCTAAAGAGCACATTTGTTAAGGGAACTCATTCTCCAAGACCCAATTCAAGTTCTAACTCTTCTGTTAAGTCTTCCCAAGCTTCTCCAAAAGAATAATTTACTCCCACTTCATTCATAAAATTAGCAAAGGACTAAATAGTGTGCAAACTGCTCCTGATCAAACTGATGGCAAAAGCTAAGACTCACTTGGCTCTCTGTCTCCCATACAAAGGTCAGCAAACCATGTCCCACAGGCCCAATCCAGCCCACTACCTGTTTTGTAAATAATTTTTACTGGAACACAGACATGGCCATCCCTTTTCTTACTGTAGATGGCTGCTTCTGCACTACTGTGGCAGAACTCAATAGTTTTGAAAGACTCTTTGGCCTGCAAACCTAAAATATTCCCTATGTGATCCTTTACAGAAAAAAAGAATCTGTCGATCCTTGAACTAATACACATTTCAAGTGACAATGAACAGCGAATGCAGCGAGTTGAGTGAAGACTTAAGACTGGTACTCAGATGGCCTGGGTCCTAACTCTGCCCCTAATTATTTAACTAAGCAAATAATGATGGCGATGATAGACTATGATGGAAAGACAGAAGCTCTGAGCACTTGCTATGTGCCAGGAGCTATGCTGAGTGTTTTAAAGTAGTTATTCCCATTTTCCTCGTAACTGGCTCCAGGGTTAGCTACTAGTGTTTCCCTCGTTAAAGAAGAAGAAACTGAGGCTGAGGGAAGTCACACCACCTTTGTAGCAGAGGCGGGACTCAAAATCTGGTCTAACCTCCTTCAAAGTTTGATATGCACCCATTACCTTAGAACACCCCTCTGAAATTCAGTTTCTTCCGCAGTTTTCAATCCATTTTAGCTAGCACAAATATATATATATATATATATAATATATATATATATAGTGATAAAAATAGTGAATGTTTAATTTTTTTCAAAAACGTGTGCTATAATAAAAGACATATTGCCATGAATTCCCCTCAGAATATTCCCCACTCCCTTCGGACACATTTATGCGTCACTCTTGCCACTTTCTGAAGCAGCTCTGGAAGTCCTCCTTAGTGTCTTTAGTTGCACTGTCAACTGTCTCAGTGACCTTAAATTGATTCAACGCGTTCTCCTTTCACGGATGGTCCTTTTGACTTCAGGGAAGAGCCAGAAATCACATAGTACCAGATCGGGTAAATGGATGAATAAGGACACATCATTATGTTTTTATGAGCCTGACTTTCCTTGGGTGGCACCTGGCAGCAGCATTCATCACAGTTTTTTAACCACAGTTCTTGAAAGAGGACTTCCAGAACCGCTTCAGAAAGTGGCAAGAATGGGATAAGCGTGTTCAAAGCAAGGGGAACTATTTTGAAGAGGATCAATGCCAATCTTTTACCATAACTTCTTTAATTGAAACACACCATACATGTTGAGCAACTCTTTTGTCTATATAAAATTATACATAGTACCTGACGTACAGGGAGGCCTGCCTGGAGCTCCGGAACTTACCCTCTCAGCCTCCTCTCTGCCCCAGAGT